AGCTCAGGCGCTGACGATGTCGGAACGATGTTTGACCAACCTCGACGGTCTCGAGGACGTGAGTGGTGAGAACGTCCCAGAATGATCTCCGAGAGAATGTGTGACACATGAAGATAGGTGAATTGATGTGAATTGTAATGATCATCAAGATGTTGGATCGACATGTTGACAATTGTTCACATGTGCACCAAATTGAGGCCTTTGCTTCTTCACATCCTCTTGGAGCATCTCATTCTCACTCTTCTATTTTTGGATATCGCTTGATTGACCATCCCAAGAGGCGAGTGGGTCACTTGACCATATCGCTTGATTGACCATCCCAAGAGGTGAGTGGGTCACTTGACCCGAGGGCAAGTGACCGGAGCAATGGATCATACGGATCATGGAACCAACCCACCGAAAACATGGAACCGGCCACCCCAGGCTTGTGGAGTATTCCGAGTGCAATGGAAAGTTCGGGGCCCCAAGTATGGCACAAGACCCTTGGGAATCAAACTGATTTATGATTTAGAATATACATTATATACATATTAAATCATATTAATATGTTTTTGTTTTTAATGTTTTCTTATTTCTTTTTAAGCTCTTTCATTTTGTTCTCCTTGGAGAGGATGTTTGTATGTTGATATATTTTGAGTTTATTAAGGCAAGCAGCTGACACTGAGACCCAGCCCATGCTTGTAGCACGGCTCATTATAGACATTTATAGAATCATTGGTGCCGCTATGTGTCAAGAGTTGTCCAATTGCTCCAATTGTGCAAGCAAATACAGGTGTCATGCTGTTGAAACCAAGTGCAAGCAGCATTGATCTAGAACAAATCCACATACAGACGCATGGACGCCGGTGAAGGTGGTTAGCTGAAGACTTTTGGCATATTGAACCAATGAAGCTCTACCCGAATGAGATTCACTTCTCACATGACTCTATCTCTCAACGTTTTTCCTGCGGCAGATTGATTGAAGACACATACCGACAACTGCGGGACGGTGACATTCACGTGTCTGTCATTCCACGAATGACGGTGGCTTGGGTTGACGGCAAATGGTTTGCATGGAATGGCAATCGTCGTTTGTGGACTTTCCGCATGCTTGCGAAGAAGGGAAAGCTGCGAAAGATAGCAGTCGATACCACAGATGAACCTATACCCCGGAGACGGTTCACCACGCAGGATGGTGGAATAGGTGTTGAGGTTCGGGGACGGAGTGATTTGAATTTGTTGGGCCCCCAGTTGTGGGCGCGACTCCGCGATAAGTCAACGCAACAATCATTCGTTGATTCTGTTGTGGCTGCTGGGCTTGAATGCTTGGCTCTTCATCCTTCCGAGTCGGGGTATTTCTTTTCTACTGAAGGTGGATCTTGGAAGTATCGTCATATCCCAGAAGATGCTTCGAGTGCTTTGTCAGAAAGTGAAGCCGATCCGCAGTATGTTGCTCTGGGAGACAACGAACGCTTCTTTATAGAATTTGAAAACGGGGCACGGGTTTGGCAGGCTGCCAAAGCTTTCGGCAAGGCCGTAAAGAGAGCAGATGATGTGTATGCAGTGGCATTCGGTCCGGATGACGGCTGGTGGGTAAATACTTCGGACGGATCGTATTGGGAGGGCTTGCCCAACGCTTTGTCCAAGAAGTTGCGGCGTGCGGACGAAAGTGCTGAATTTGTATCTCTAAGCGCATCAGGTGGCTGGTTTGTGCGTTTCCCTGAGGAAGGTTGGAGCTACAGGGGAATCGACAGCGTTTGCCACGAGAAAGTGCAGGAGGAAGAAGGCAGAGGCCGAAGTCCAACACGCATCACCTTTGGTGGGGACGATGACTGGGTTGTTCAATTTCACTAACCAAATCATCACTCGTCACTCACCTAGATTCGGCTCCAGCCCTCTCAGGCGAACGCACTTCGGGAAAAGAGCGTGCCAACCTGCACCAAGAGCCTGTCCATGTTTATAAACTCTGAGAGTGAGACGAGGATTGTTTTAAGTATTTTAAGTGTCTTCACTGGACCTGTTTTTTGCTTAACTTAAAATCCATTTGAGATTGGACAGTGCATCTCTGAATGCTAGGGAGGCCCTTTTAGGTGGTTAGGTTCTCGGGTGGATGGGATTTGTCAATCTTCTAGCTGTTCCTTGCGTTCCTCAAAGCAATTTAGGGAGGGCATGTTTTTTTCACAAGAAATGTCAACGAGTAAACTCTGTCAGACACCCGCAGCGATGCAGTTCTTCCTATATTGGAAGATAAACTATATACAGTATATATATAAACCCGCGGCTAGCATGCATTCATGGACCTCTCAACTCAACACATCATAGGAGAATTCAACCCATGCACCTTCAAAGCATTTGCCCGGCCACCTTGGACCACCCCATTTTATACCCATCGAACGGCTCGCAAATTTTTCGGTCCGTCTTTTCCCAGGCAGCGATGCCTGCGGCGCAAGGACGCTCCGGCACCGAGATGAGCTCGGTGAGACCAAAAAGGGGTGCGGCGTAAACTGAGCAAACTGCGGGACGTCATGATACACCTCCGGGATCCATCCGTGTGCTTTGTTTGTTCACTTTTTCGCGGAAGTGTGTCAGGTGGCAGATTCTAACAATGGCATTGCTTTGGACGGTCAATTTGAAGTGATGTGTTTTTTCTTCTCCCCGGACTCCCCGGCATGTTGGATCCTCTCTGAATTCAGTGGATTGGAACAGGCTCAAACCGCTGCGGTCGACCGGGGCGGCGTCAGCGGCGGGAGAGGGTCCCTCGTTGCAATCAGGTTGGCGGGTGAAGGACCTGAGGAAGACCATTGGCACAAGAGTTGACATGAAGAAAGCAAAGTCCTTCGTGAGTTGGTTCACTGGCACACCAATATCCATGTTCATGTCCTTAAAGATGTACACGTACATACACTTTCCAACCTAGACCTTTACTCAACTATATATAAGTTATTGAGAACTTATGTTATCATAACTGTTTGACGTCAAGGTTGGTCAAGCGGGCTTACGGGTCATCCGCTGGAACTGCTTTGGGCGAAGCCTCCACAGACGCATCGCCGCGACGCCGGGTGGGCATCTCGGAGGTGCGGCGACAGACGCATCGCCGCATCCGGGTCAGGCCTTCATGGTGCGTGTCAAGCGTCCAGGTGGTGCAGGAAGGCATCGGATAGCTGGATGGGAGACAGTGACGAACCTGGACTCCCTCTAAATATGTACTGTAACACATTTTACTATGTAATTATATATGATACTAAAGATTGGTGCTTGATGTTTGACGCTACGCTTGCATTTTTCTTGCTCACTTGTTTGCTAATCTTGACAACACGTGAGGCCCTGTTGACTATTCTCTTCATGTTTTGGATGGCCACGTCACTGTCCATGTTTTAACCTTGTTCATTGTTAACTTGTTCTTCATTCTTCTTCCATACGCTACCAATGGTCGACGTGCAGCCTTTGTGGGCCAAGCGCACTCGATGTCTGGCGACTTCATCGACCAAATGTCATGGGAACCGACACGGAGACGCCACCACTATGTCAGGATCTTCAGGATCTGCGCATCCACGCATGCGTCGCATGCCGTCCGTCATCCCTGGAAGGGGGCTGGGGGGCGTACGGCTACGGCTTCCAACCTTCTCGTGATTCCTGGCGATGTTTGGGTGTGAAGTGGATCCTTGAGTGGGCACCAAACATCATTTAAACGAACGTCACACAATATCACACATCAATCTAAAATCATGGTGCTACTGTGCTACTTGTAGCCTAGACACTCTAGTGACCAGTTTGTATGTTTTTTCTCCCCTGGTTTAGTGGTTTTCCTCGTTTTGGCACTGACCACATCCATGTGTGCTTTTCCGATGGCCAATCAATCCATGTTGTCCTGCTTAAATTTTCAGGATCAGCCATTCTGTTTACTCCAAGAACTGTGAACTGGACTTAGAAGTCGGCAGAAGACCCAGACACTGCGCAGGAGGGTTACCAGACGCTGCACAGTCGTGTCTCGAAGAGAGACATGCGGCGACGAGGTGCAAACCTGCTGGCAGGAGCGACTCGTTGTGAGCGGCCCCCGGTGACCTCCCGGTGAGTTCTTTTGACGGGAAACACGATGTCTCGTTGGAAACAAGATACATCATGATACCTCTAGAACAAGTTATATACATTTTGTTTGTTTCTTCAGCATGAGCAGTCGTTCTTTTCTTCGTCGATGTTTGGCACAGGACTCTCTTTGGTTTTTTTTTTTTTTTTGCGTGGTGCTGCAGTGCTCAAAGAACAGGGAGGGGGTTAGATCGTGTTAGATCTCATCTAATCATAATATCAACATCTATAAACATTGAAGATCATTTGTGATGAAACACTATAAACCGGTGAGGTGGTCACTAGTCGTGGTCACTTGGAGCCCATGAACAGGTATACCGGGCAGCTGCAACAGCCTGCAATGCCCATTGTGTTGATGTTGAATCAATGTTTATGCAAGTGATTGCTTCTCCGAACAAGCACAATTCGATGATACTGCCCAAATCTGAGATGGCCCCGTGTATTGAAACACCTGTTTTAAGCCAGGCGCCTCCTGCTTTTGCGGAGGAAGGGCGTTCCAAGGTCCATCACTTGGGGGCTTCATCCGGTGATGGGTTCACCATGGTTCGTGTATCACCCGATTTGAGGCCAAGTGATGCTCCACTTCTCCGATATTCGTTTGGCAGTTCCTTGTAGCTCCAAATGTGGTTTCATGTGATTCATGTGTTTTCTTCGTTTGACCGTGGTCGTAAGTTGTAAATGTCATTTAATCAAGTGTGTATACTGTATTATACTGTAGCGAGTACGCGTACTTGTGCTTTCCTACTTTCCGTCATCCTGATCCCTTAGGGTCTTGGGTTCCTTTGCACTTAGGTGCCTCAATTCCCATTCAACCAAAGCTCCGTCTCCACAGAAGGCCCCGCGTGCTTGACCACCGTCACGGGGCGTGTTCCGGTGTTTCGCTGTGGCCAGGTGCCGTCTCCTGGTCATGCATTACGAGCTACCAATGGATCTACTCCATGATCACCACCGGCTTCGCTTTGACCATCTTGCCCCAGGAGGCCGAAAGGCTCCACTCGGCGGCTGGGACGGAGGACCGGAAGAGGCCACCGGGAAGACCGAATTCCACCGGACACCATCGGAAGGGTGTTGGACCTGGCGCTTGAAGGCTCGGACCTTATAGGGCACCGGATGGACTCGGATGGATGTTACCTCAGGCCGCATTGGTATGGTGGAAGACTTTTGTTCAAAGGACCATGGTCATGGCGTTTCACGCCATCTCTCCAGGAGTTCTAATAAGTTCCCGCTGTGGTATTCTAATGTATTCTAGATCCAGAAATCCTTTAGTATTATTTAGTATTATCTTTGTTTGGTATCCTACAGTGGTTTATCAGACAAGTCGGCACAACATGAGCTCACCGATCTCTTACATGTATTAACAAATATTAACTAAGCACCCCCAAAGAAATTATGATGATCTGAAACGTTCAAGCATTATTGGTTAGTCGTAAAGGACCCTCAGTGCTGAAATCTCATAGAATCAGTCTTCGCTGTTTTCCTTCCCGATATCATGTCACTTCAATAATATTGATGTTTGCATCTCCCAGAGGCCTAGTTATGTAATATGGTAGTACTATGGTGCAATCAGAATTCTTGGAACAATAGAATCTTAAACCCTTGTGTTCTGAACCCCTTCATCAAGGTCTTTCCACGTATGTATTGTTCTCACAAATTATTTTGTAACACGTACAACTATGACCCCTGAGGCTTCGCACCAAAGGGGTCTCCAAGTATAGAACAGAATGCTGCACGTTTCGATTGCACTAATTATTTCCGGGTTAATTTAACACGGTATCCCATGCATCTTCCTTTTCTATGTCCTTTACCTGTTGCTTGAGCCAAACATGCAGGATCAGCAAGACCAGTCGAATTTAATTCCAACTCACAATGAAACACTCTGTCAACTTGTGTGCTCACGGGGGGCCAAAGCTTTTCCAGTGAGGTGGACACTCGTTCAACAGAATGCAGACCTATTCTATCCTCCCGAGAGAGCAGCGACCGAGGCTGATTCGAGCCTGTGGCTAGCCACATATGTGATGATCTGTGGTGTCACACAGCTCATTTGTCCCTTGTCTTACCATTCGCTGAGATAAAGCACTGTAGACCCCTGGTCTCATCCGCCGATCTCGAGACTGACTTGCCAGAGTTTGTTGTGCCAGTCAAGCAATGTGGTTTCTTCATGTTGGGACTTGTGCTTGATTGCTTTACATGTTCATTCTGTTCATCTTCACCCTTTCCCCACGGTTTTTGGATCGCTCACGTTGTCACCGAGGCCCCATGGCCGGCCTCTTCTCCGATCGCTTGAACTGCTCCTTCGGCCGGCGGCGGCCAGTGATGCTGACGGCGAGCCTGCTGGCGGGCGGAGGACCGAAACCATCCGAAACCCGTCGCAGGAGATGCTTCCAGTGCGGTCGCAGGCTATTCGTAGGTAGGTCAGTAGGTACTCGGTTCTGGTAGCATGTTGTGGTAGGTAGCAGCTGGATGAAGCGATTAAGAACTAGGATGAATACGGACGACTCACTTGTAGAGATCGGATGTTCGTCCATGGAACTCGTTTGAAGGATGACTCTCGATGTTGGTACAGAGTGTGACTATTCAACCAGTTCCGAGTGCTAGGACTATCCCAGGTTCAACTGAACCAGCGCCATGTTTGCTGTCCGAAGAAATGAGCCTCTCGAAGACATGTTCATCATCGCCCCTATTACCCTAGCAGCCAAGCCCATTCGTTTCAACTTAAATGTTTACTGCGAGATTCTCACTTCGCACACCTGAGATTGCCCAGTGAACTTCACGACTAAACGCTCTTCACAGAACTTCAGCCAGTTTCTCCAGCACAGAAAAGATCAGAAAAGCCATTGGTTGCGCTATGCGCCAGGATTTCTGTGTCTTTACTTCTGCAGTCGCTACCTTTGCCCTGAGGGCTTTCTTTGTGCCTTAGCCTTCACCGAGACGTCCCTGAACGTGGCCTTCGCAGCGCATGCGGCCTTGCCCGCTGCCGCTGGGCATGAATCGAACAGCCTGATATATTGACTGATATATATACTTAAAAAAATATATTGACATATATATATATATATATTTAGATCTACTGAAGACTCGTTGTTTGTTTTATTTTTTCGATAACTATGGCCTCAAACCATTTGACATGAAACCCAGATTTTGAGTCTATGTAATCAATGTCCAGAGATGTATTGATGCAACATGCAAGACACTCTTGTGAACCGAATGGTATAAATGCTTGGTGAGAGATCACTCCTGTTTCGTGACTTGAGAGAGAATTTGACAAACTTGCTCATGCTCCTCAGGATTTGCGCGTTCAGCCTCAGTTTGAAGAGCCAAGTGCGCACCGCATGAGATGCATCTATTGTGGGAAGTTTTCAGCAGTTGAGACTCGAACTATGAAGCATAGATACCATGCAGTTTATACGTTAATAAGACTTAATTCATATGTTGTACATCCTTCATTGCTTCACTTTCACCATGAATGGCCTACTGGATGCTCCCCTGTTGCAGTTGTAATGGCGTCAAACCGTCGCACCACAAACTTGGACCAGTTGACAGCGAAGACGGCAGGACACGGTGAAGCTTCGCTGGAGACACACAAGACCCAGTTCACATGTGTTTTTGTGTTTGGCCAGCATTGACTCCAGTGATGGTTTTGATCAAAACATCCATCAAACGAGGTACCAGGGGTGCTGAGTCTGAAGCTGGCCTCATCTCTGGCATCATGGTCGCTGTGGCCAAAATATGGTCAAGACACAATCACCAAATCGCGTAAACCATACAGATGATAAGATGATAAGAAAGAAGGTGGCAGAATCTGCAATCAGGTTGGTTGGTTCGTTTCTTTTTGTGTTGAACAAGAATCAGGTTTTGTTCAAAGTTCTTAAGCTTGGCATTCTGCGGGTATGCCTATATTTATGTCAATGTGTTCCTGTTTGATGCAGTTTTTTTGGTATTTCGCTCCAATGACTGTACTGGCTCAATGTCCAACCTGTCTCTTTGCAGCATTAAAACATATTCATATTGGCATTGAGACAGATGCCTCAGTTTCGAGGACATGGCTTAGGCTTTCCACGGATTGTCCTTTGAACATCTGAGCAAGCCAAGCCCATATTTTTCCAACCGCTCAGCCCTCCTGTTCATCAGTTTTGCTATTGTTGATGACTTGAATATAACACGTTCTGCTCTACCGCCACGGACGGCAGCGTTCTTCGTCCCAGGCCTTGCATTCCTTCCTGGGCGCTGTGTGCGCCGTGGGCTTTCTGGATTTCACCTCAGGCGTTCGCGGGTGAGTTCGTAGCGGTTTGAAAGACCGTCATGAAATGTCATGGTGCGTCACAGAGGCCTTTCAGAACCCTTGCAGAACAGTTTTGGGGGATGTGAACAGAATGGGCTGAGAGGGTTGGTCGCCCACAGTTGTAAGTAAGCAAAAGCCATTGGACGTCAAGATCGGCCGCTTCAATCTGGTGTTTTTGTATGTCTTTGTCATAGATTCGATCTCGTATATGCACAACTACTTTGTTCCTGGACCTATCCATTCAAGAATTTCGGAGTACCAACATGAGCCCATTCATCCACCATTTATTTGCCATGGCAGACCAAGGCCCTTTTTGCTTTACAGTTGTAGGCAGAAATCCGCTGTTTGGCATGTTTGCCATATTGAGCAACTAAACCAGCGATGAGTCATAAAATAATGTACAGTAAGCAATTAGCTGAAACCTGTCAATTCAGTTTATGGGTATGTTCAGCTATGTGTAATGTTGTATAATATATAATGTATATTGAAAGTGTGGGTGGGGGCAGAAAAAAAAAGTGATAGGCCCGAGGCCCTCCCAAAAAGCGATAACCTTGCTGAGTCATGTCCTCTTCGTTCACCACTCTAACCCTCCAGTTTTGGCCGTAGCAAGGTGCTCCACTCTATTTTTTCTACCTCGTCTATGGCATTGCGGTTCTCGTGGTGTGCACCTTTGTGAGTCTCGTGGCCAAGGAGGACGTGCGTCTCATGCTGGTGAGTGGGACGGGACAGTGGAGCTACTATGAGCTGCTTATTTTTGCGGTCAAAAACATCAATGGTCAAAAACATGTCAAGACTTGTCAAAACTCCCCAACATGAACAGAATACTTTTTCTGGCAAGGTTCATCCACCAATACCTGGGGTGTTTTGCTTGACCAAATCATCAGAAACCATCAGACGCAAGGAAAGCCACACAGAGGGGCCCAGGGTACCTCACAAGCTTGTCGCAGGAGTCCTCCAGCAACCTCAGCTCCCCCAGTGCAGGCGATGAACAGGGCGTAGCTAGTGGCGTCCCGGTCTTGGAATGGAAAAGAACCTGAGACATTCCCGAAAAAGATGCGGTTTCCATTGCATGCTTCATGTGTGCCTTCCTGAATGAACAAAGAATCCTGAGAGATCTCCGAAGCACAAGTCACTTGGTTTCGGCAGGCGAGATTCTGGCTGCATACAGCATGGACACTGAGAGGGACGCAGACTTCTTTTGGGTTTCTTGGCTAAAAGAAAGGCCTTGCACACACACACACACACATCAGCTGTGCATGCATACCTTTGTTTCATGTTGTTTCATCTCGTCTCGACCTCTTTTTTTGAGATAAACAGCAAGGAGACACAGAAGAGAGGCTGAGAACTTCCACATATATGCCAGCACTTCATGCGACATGCCTTCTGTTTGTTGAACCATCAACAAAAGTCAACCGCATGCAACCATAATAATTACCTGTGAAATTTTGTCAGCAACCCAAATATAAATATAGTAATGCCATGTCATGTTATGACATACACCTCTCTTGTTCTGCAGTTCTTTGAAACGCACGTGCCTTGATCTATATGAGACGCATTCGCTCGGTGGGTGTCGCTCGGTTGGTCGTGGTGTCGCTCTCCTCCCAGGTGTGCTATGGACGTCTCCTGTTCTACACCAGCCAATCAGCGCCTTGGGCCAACACCGACCGACCCGGGACCGCGACCGCTCGTCGGGGCCGACCCTTGGGCCCTTGGGGCAGGGTGAGAACGGAGAGATGCGGAGAGCAGTACCAGAGCGGTTCGAGAGTTGCTTTGTGATGCTTTCGATGCGAGCCAGCTCTTGGAGATGATTGAGTTGATTGTTTGATCAACTCAGGTGATTGTCTTCATGGCCTATTTCATTCGCGATATGTTCCAGGCGCAGATAAGGACAGTTTTCAGGGGTTTTCAGATATCTAGTCCTTAAAGCGAGTATGGCACGCCAAGAAGGAAGCCATGTATAGGCTGTGTCACTAGCCAAAAATATAAAGATCCCACCTTCATTTCGCCTATTATGACAAGGAAATACAAACCAACCAACCAGCTAACGAAGCAAGTGCACACCATATGAATCATATGAGGACAACTCCGAGACTCCGGCACGGACTCCTTCCTTCGTCTTGGGACCAGTGATTCGAAAGCAGGTGAGATCGGAGCCGGAAGTGATCTCAAAGCTCTCGTTGCTGGTGGCGTGGTTTTCCGTTTTCTGGGTGTGTCGGGCGTTTCCTGTGTCGGGCACCCCATCGAGCTGGGGAACAGTTACCCCCAACAAACATGTGATGGACAAATGGAGCCTTGAAAGACCATATTCCTCCACAAGCAGCAGGGGGGTTCCACTTCCGCGTTTTGTTGGAAGAATTTGCATGGTTGGATGTTGTTGGTCAATTTGCCAGGGCAAGTGTGGTTCAATGCCAAGGTATGCGTAGTACATCATGAATCATATTATATATTACATTGGTAGTATGAATGCATACTTAGGGTGTAATTAGGATCATGTGTTGGAACAAGGAGATCCTCCAAATCCACTGTGTTCCTTTTGATGTTCGATCCACTCTCCGACCTCTGACACGCGAGGTCTTCATCGGTCAAGGCGTTGGGGCCGTGGTGGCCGTGCCCAGCAGTCGAATCTCCGACCTGGTGGGATGCAAGCCGATGGTCTACGTCTCCTGCCTGGTGCAATGTGCTCCTTGAAGCCATTGAGCCGGGGTTGGAAGAATGGAAGAATGGAATGGACACTGGGGAGCAAAAACCACCACACAGGATAGGAATTTCACTTCTACAGGACCAGGAGTCTTTTGTTGTATTTATATTCTGCAAGAGTTGAGTCAAGAGTGAACTGGGGTTCCCAAGTCAAGCCATGTCAAGCCCAGTCCAGCGGTTGGTGTTTGCGGATGGAACTGTCGTCAGGTCCTGTCCTTGAGTGATTCAGTCCACGTGACTGTGATGTACACTGTACACGATGAGAGTCAACTCCAAACTCATCCTCTGAAACACCCCCCAAGATCACCTCAGTCTTCTCAACAAAAAGGGGAGTCCATGGCGTGCTTAGAAGGGATATATGAGCAACAAATTCACGGTGTGTTCCCTTGCAGCCAAGCAGTAGTTACATACAGTTCGTGAGTTGCTAGTACTGATACCCAAGTGAACAACCCATAATATTTGGTACGATCCCTGTATCCCTGTTCGTTCGGACATCATTAGTGAACTCGCGCCGCTCCGTGGCACTCGTGTGAAAAGGCCAGTTTCCTGGCCTTCATCGTGGCTGCTCGCGTGGGCTGGTCCGTCATGCTGGTGGGAGCTGTGATATATGGACTTGGAGCGGGGTCTTATATGAGCAGCTTGGCAATGAAGATTGTGTAATTACATAGAGGTTGTCAAGAAGTTTCGAAGGCAGATCGGCCGTGACATGGTGAAAAGGAACACCCTTGGAAAGTGACTTAACAACTGAAACTGCACCCCCTGGAAGACTCTTGTCCTCTAGAACACCACATTTCCAGAATCTTCCTGAGTCTGCGACAATGTAGGACTTGTTTAAGGGACTCACATGCGGATCATGCGGGTTTTGGTCATGTTGACATAGTGAGGCATCATTCTGGTGATGTTCAAAGATTTGAGGGGAGGTGAGGAACAGCTGAATAGCCATTCAAAGTCCTCGCCATGCTGGTAAGTGAAGAATACTTAATAAAGTCCTTGTCAAGTGTTTGTTAGGTTTGATTGGCTTCTGTCGTGGCTGGTTGGTGCTTGCACGAGCTGGCAAACCCTAACTAGCCTGACTAACTCAGCCATTGCTGTAATTATATAGTCGAATTGAAAACGATCGATTCAGACACATGCCACGGTTGCAATGAAGTAGGACATTGCTTCAGAGCATGCCTACATTGATCTTGCAATGCAATTCCCGTGTTACAAGCCGTGAAGCAAAGGCGTGGACTATGCTTTAGCTCTGAAATGCCTCCCAGCAAATAAGGACAGGGAAACGAGGCAACAACATCAAACATGCACCTATAGGAACAACGGGCATCGCTACTAGGAGCAAGGACGCTACTAGGGGCTCCTGGCCTTACTACTAGGAACAAATAGCTACTAGGAACCAAGGGCATGTTGATCCTATGCACCGGAAAACAATCAATTTCGCACAACGCTGCTCCGTCCTTGTTGAGAAGTGCCGGTCCAACCGCGAGGACCGTGCCCAGTCCTTTGGCTTGTGGGGCATTGCTGGCTTCATCGGTAGCTGCCTGGGGCCATTAGTCACTGGTGGAGTTCTGTGGTTGTTCACAGGCCAGGCTCGCTGTGGCGTCGCTTTCTCAGGAGTGGGTCTACTAATGTTTCTATATCTTGACAGCCCAGCCGCAACTTGTTTCTCATGTGGGGGACTGAGTAGTTTCATCCACGTTGACCGACAAGTGCCAAGATCAAAGCTGTCCCCTTCAAATGTTGTTGGTGTTTTTCATGCCTTTAATTAACAGTTGGAGAGACCTCCCTGGAGCCCTCCCGTCAGTCTCCTCTTGATTTTGATATGTTTTCATGACATGACAGGGTGGCATCTAATTGAGTGGCTTCTCACAGCGTCAGTCACCTATAAGTCGCCTGAGGCGTTCTTCGCCCGTTGTTCGTGTTCAGCCTCGGTGTTCAGAGCCCTTCGCCGCCTCCAGGTGACGATGAGACCAGCGTCCTGCATGGACCTCACTATGAGTACCAGGCTGCGCGGAGCGCAGACCCGCGCGCGCGTGCGCATGTTTCTCCGCGGAAGACGGCGCGGAAAAGCCATGGAGACGGCCATGAGTCGACCTCCACTCACAAAGCCTCTTCTGCGGTTGAATTGAATGGCTGGCTGGCTGGCTAACCGCTGTCCTGTGGCTCCAGGGCTACGTGCTGGGGATGATCCTGGCTGGCTCCATGCCTGCACTCGCAGTGATCCCCGCGACGCGTTTGATCCAACGCACCGTGTGAGCGACGTGTTTGATCCATGCCGAAAAGGATCCAAAGCCCATACGAGCGGGGGCGGGGCGGTCAGGGTGGTCCTTGCTGCAGTGGGTGGAAGGAGTGAAGCCAGCGTCCCAAAGGAGTTTTATGCATAGAGATGCACAGAGAAGAAGGTTTCACTTTTCTTCTGTCATTATGAACACTTGTAACAGATACGAGGATCCTGTTGATTTTTCAGTCTTTCAAAACTGATATCCTAAAGATCCAGCGGGGCAGGATTGCATCATAAGACCTGCACACTGAGTTGGACTCTTTGTTCATGACTCATTTCCCGCTGCCAGGCACGGTCCGCCAGGTGCAGGGCGCGGTCCAGGGCGCTGCCAGGCGCGGTCCAACTCTGGTCGATCATGTCATATCATGTCCATGTCAGACGGGCCGTGTCAGGTCATAGCCAGGGGGAATACGTTGAACTCGCTTGCTGACGACGGTGTGAGTCCAGCTGCAAGGCCCCACATACACACTGGAGGTCAGACATCACAAGGAGCAAGGGCACAGTCTTCTGGGAGGAAGTCCTACCATGACGGAATTTCACATCAGTATGATCCACGATGGCCATTGACCAAACCTTCGAAGCGAAATGTTCATTCCGCAGCTTCATGGCTCAAAGATAATCTTTATTGAAATGAGGACACTGGGGTCGAGAGCTCAGAATGCTTCAGGATGAATATGTCCAGTACTAGTCTGAACAATTCTTGGAGTGCTTTAAGTAGCGAATCGACCGACATACAGATCGCACATGATCGCACCATCCACATTCTGAACCTCCCAGCTTCTGTTGGGTCACCGCACCCTCTCTGAGTTGCCATGTATTTGACCATCATTTTCAATCTGGTCCTGGCCGTATCTGCCTTCAGCAGTGGCGACCGGGCGCATCTGGATGTGAGGGACAATGACAAAGGTAGCTACTCGCCTTGCCCAGGCGACAGCCCATGCCCGAGCAGTCGGGTTTGCTTGAAGTCATAGAGCATGCAAACAGCTCAATGGCGAAAACATGTTGGACATCCCCGAACCATTGACCAATAGAGCTTGCGGTAAGGTAGCGCCTTTACTCTAAATGTAGGTCTACTATGGTCTACTACATGATGCTTGCCAGGCGTATTCTCTGAAAGTATGATCCTAGGATCATTTACTGTATGTCATGTGGCTTTGGGGTTGTTGTTCATCACCAGTCATATGATGCTGCATCCTTGGTTGATGCGTTCCTTCGTGGCAGCCATTGCGGTATTGCAAAACGGACATTGCCTACAAGACCTTGTCCTAGAGAAATCATGAGAAATCGAAAGTAGACCAGTTGCATTGAGGTCTTTCAGAGTTCAGCCCATTCAAGTCTATTGATTTAGCTTGCAGGTAAAACAGTTGTGAGCAACACAATCTGATCACCTGCAAGGGACACCTGTTCAACCACCATGGGGAATATATCAACAGTTCTATTTTCTTTTATCTTTTTTAGGTAGGCGGCTTTTTGGGGCACATGACATCCTCATCCCTGCCAGACTGTCCCATCTTCGTCTACACGTCCTGGAGGGATCTCATCCTCCATGGCGACTGCCGCTCGTCGGTCCAGCTGACCTCGTCCTCGGGGCAAACTGCAGAGATCCGGTGCAACGTGGAGGAAGGCCGGTGGGCAGACGAAGAGTTTCCAAGGGGCAGTTGGTCAGGTTTCGCACGATCACCAGATGAAATAGGATGAAATAGGCATATCATATCTATATGAGCAACCACTTTTATTTAGGCTTTACATGCTCTATTTGCTTATTTATCATCAGCATTCGCTTGTGAACGAGATAGGGCCCCCACATAAACGAGATAGTGTGATTTGCTACTAAAGTAGTCTGAACAAGGTACTGTGACATGACCTCCTTATATAAGTAGTCTAAACGAGATAGGGCCCCCACATAATAGATGGTGTATTTGAGTTTAGTACCAAATAAATGCCGCTGCACATATGCATATCATTGCATATCTATTATTGATTGTGTTTGCTTGGATCTATAGGGATCCATTCATAAGGCATGATACCTTTACTAAGACCAACAAAGTTCCGCGAACTCAGGCCGTAAGGTGTTCCGATTCCCACCTGGCATCTTTGAGATTGATGAGCAATTGTTGATTCCTGCCAGCTGCTCAATCGTGGGTGCTGCCAGCCCAAACGACATGGCGAATCCCAAGAAGACTCCAGACTGGAAAGGCCAGACGTTGTTTCTGGCTACACGTGGAGCGGCCTGATGTGAGAATTGAGCCGAGCTGCGTTTATTTTTTAAGTGGAGTTGGGCTGAACGCGCATGGTTCACATGGGCTGTACCGTTCATGGATCCACTGAAGCCGCTGTGGACCCCAGCATTTTCGTCCTGAAACAGAGTAGACCTTTTGGCATGTTTGTTGACAGGAGAAGAGCCTTTAAGTCACCATGTGATAGAGGAAAACCGTGGTGATTGTAAGCCTCTATAGTGCAGCAGTACGGGACTTCACACATCAACGGTAATTAATTATGAATTATGACCAAAAAACAATACTAAACAACATCCATCACAAGCTGTTTGGCCGTGCGACGAGGTCAACCGCTATGACATGGTCTATTGCCACGCCAAGGACATGGTCACCACCAGAGTTGGTTTTGTGCTTAGTAGCAAGGTCACCGTCAAGGACATCAGCTACTTGGACTTCAGCAATCTCGAGGACATGCACAGTGCAAACATGTGTATATACAACAGATGTTTGCGTCTTTCTTAGCCAACGTTGGATCACAACTACTTAAAACAATTGAAACTCTCGTTACAAACATCGTTTTGCAGCCCAACCAAAACACATCGACTTATAGAACATGCACTTAGTCACTTCCCCCCCAATTTCCAGCTGATTCTCCTTTGCTTCCAGCCACCCACCTGCCTTAACCTGGGGGTGCCAAGGGCCCGGGTTAACCTGGGGGCGCCAAGGGCCCGGGTTCCTCCGCAACGAGGCTACCAAGGCGTGGACACCATCCGCCCGGACGACAACGGCGCCCTCTGCGGCGGCGGGGCCTTCGAGACCAAGGGCTGCGCAGAGAACGACTGCAAGGTCTCCCAGGTGAACACTGGGGGCTCTGATGCCTGAGCTGGGCAGAGAAAGATGTTGGTGTCCTTTTTTTGGGGGGGAAAGGACAGATGGACAGGACAGATGGACAAAAGGATATATGTCAGAATAAGTTGATTTGGATGATTTTGTTCATTTGGTATACCTTTTGCTCTCAAGGTTTGCACTGATAGGTGGTGTGTGCTATTTTTTGGGGTCCCAGTCCCAATGATAGAATTAGACATTGTTCCTCCATTGCCATCAGCTGCACTTTAAACTTGGGTGTGCCATGCAGAATGTATATATATATATAAATATATATATATATA